AGATGCTTCATTTTAAAGGGAGTTGACAAGGAGCATTACTCAGAAAGAAAGGTTCCACTTACTGATGCACCAACACCACTTCCTGCTGCTGCATCATATGTTTCCCTTGAAGATTTGTCCTAACTAGAGCTTAGAAGCTCACAGGCTGATATGGTGGCAGGTGACCATTATTGTTTGTCCACTTCTGTGGTTTTACTTCTTGTTCAGGAGCCTTGCGTCACATTTGTGAGCTAAGCACAGCAGCTCTGTCACCAACTGCTACATGGTAGACTCTGTAAAAGACGCGAGGAGTCCTGTGGCACCTTATAGATTAACAGATTTATTGGAGCATAAGCTTTTGTGGGCAAAGACCCACTTCGTCAGATGCATGTAGTGGAAATTCCAGAGGCAGTATAAATATACAGGCATAAGAAAAGAGTACCAATTAAGAGTAAGGCTAGAGATAACTAGGTCAATTCAGTCAGGGAGGATGAGGCCCACTTCTAGCAGCTGATGTGGAGGTGTGCTAGAAGTGGGCCTTATCCTCCATGAATTGACCTAGTTATCTCTAGCCTTACTCTTAATTGGTACTCTTTTCTTATGCCTGTATATTTATACTGCCTCTGGAATTTCCACTACCTGCATCTGATGAAGTGGGTCTTTGCCCATGAAAGCTTATGCTCCAATAAATCTGTTGGTCTATAAGATGCCACAGGACTCCTCGTCGCTTTTGCAGATTCAGACTAACACTGACTAACTCTGATCTGTAAAAGGCAGCGTACACTGAGGGCATTTTCACCAGTTTATAAGATTATGAATCTCCTCCAAAGGCCGACCGTTCTGCTGAGCTGGAAAAGATAAACTTCTCCCTGTCAGACAAATGCCCAGTAACTGGTTTTCAAATGTTGGGCAATCTCACCCACAGAATCCAATCCAAACAGGAACATTGTGGTGAGCTCTGAGTCAGACTCTCTGGTGGTGGAGAAGATGGTCATCAGATTTATCACTGTTCCACCATAACACTGAGTTCTCTTCATAATGGATTGTACAGCACTGAGTCATACTTCTGGGTTAGATCTGGTGGGCAGCGTTGCGTATTGTGATAGATATGACTTTGGATGCCAAGCTGGAGTTCCCATAATTTCTATCAAAGTTACTTGACAGAGGAATGAGACATTCAGCAATATGGTATCATATTTGTAAGCAGGGTCTGAACTGCTGCTTGCTGTCAGCCAGCTAAAAGGAGGGGTGGGTGTGCCCACTACAGTTGTTTAGCTCTACAAGGTAATTAACTGTTAACTGTTGACATGTATATACAGCTCAGGAGAGAATCCAAGGTGTGGCTATGTAAATCCCATTCAGCCAGGGCTGATGGAGGGTCAGTGTTGGAATGGAATGTGGAGAATTGTATATAACTTGGGACTGTTGTGGGGGTAACTACTCATGCTCAGAGTTGAGTGAACTGAGCTGGAGGAAAGGGTTAAAGGGTTTGAGTCACCCTTCTTCACACCTGCCCGGTGTGAGCTATAAGACTGACCCAGCCTGCACCTTTCCCCCTTGTTTTAAGGACAGACCTAAAGCAGACTCCCTGAGGGGTCTTTTTGTTTACTAGTCCAGTGAAAGCTGGATTCATTTGACAGCCCAGCTGGTGGCTAAAGAGTTGAAATCACTGAGAGCTGAAATCACTGGTTTGGCTGAGAGCCAGACCTATTGCAGCCAGTAAAGTGGCGGCAATCAGTGGCCTGGCGTGGAGCAGCGGCAGGCGAAGAGCAGCCATCAGCGGTGTGGCGTGGAGCGACGGCGGATGAGGAGCGGCCATCAACAGCGTGGCGTGGAGCAGTGGCCTGGCGAGGAGCGGCCATCAGCAGCGTGGCGTGGAGCGGCGGCAGGCGAGAAGCGGCGACAGGTGCCCAGCGGAGGTCCAGAGGTGTGGGATGAGACAGCTGGTGAAGCGTGGCGGAGTTTCGTATAAGGTGCCCCCTATCTATCCCCCACCCCCATTTCTACTCTGGTTGGGAGGTGAAACCCTGCGGGTGAACTTTGGGACTCTGGGTGGCACAGAGACATGTGGGGACAGAGACTTTTGGGGAGTCGGATTCTGTGGACTTTGGGCGATTCTTGGCTGGGGTGGGGGCTTGGCTCATGTTTGGGTTATGAACTCTGTTTGTGGTGTTTTCCCCAAGCTACTGCCGTATGAATTCTCTCTCTGTTTCATTAAATGTTCTTTTCCTACACTCAGACTCAGTGCTTGCGAGTGGGGAAGCATTGCCTCTCAAAGGCGCCCAGGGGTGCGTGAATTTCCCAGATCACTGGGTGGGGGCTCGAGCCAGTTCTTTGTGAGATTGACCCCAAGATATTGAACCCAGCCCTGGTTACTGCCAGGCCTACCCGGCAGAAGGGTTACATATTAAAATATATTTCTACTTTAGCTGTGTTGACTCCCATTGACCTAATAGGGCGATTGCAGTGATCTCCCTGCTATTGCAGCTTTTGAAAATGGATGTGGGGTATGAAAGGGTTGGCACTCACCTCTCATGAGCACTGGTTGCATGTGACTGCACTCTCTCTTCATTGGTTCTCCGACAGTGTCTCTAGCCCCTCTGTCTTTAAGGAGTCTCAGCCCTAGGATGGGGCTGTCTCCCCAGGACTTCCCCCTCTTGGAGACAGGATTTTCCTGGGATTCTCCCAAGTTCAGTCCACACCCAGCCCCTGCAGCCATCCAGCAGCTCTCTATATTCCCCCAGTCCCTGCTTTCAAACTGTCCTTCTCTCAGTCTGAGAAGCCAGCCAGGAGCCTCTCGTTCCCCTGGTCACTGCTCCCTACTTTGCGCTTGTTGTGCTGCAGTTCCCTCAGGCAACTGGGCATACAATCCTTTCTCCTCTAGTGCCCAGTAACAGCACAATACAACAACTGCTATTAACTCTCCCCCTTACTTTATTCGGCCACTCCTTTTAATATAGCCTTCCTGGACCCTGATTGCTTGCTTCCTATGCAGCCCCTCTAGTCTGCTTGGAGGACTTCTCCACTGTTCCCTTCCTTGGGGTAGGTTCTCCTTTGCCTCAATAGGCACATACCTTTGAAGGGAAGATGCATAAGGGTGGTGATCTCAGCCTGTGAGGAACACAAGATCTGACCTGAGCACACAGGGGCCAAAGGGTAACACCATGGCTATGTCTACACTGGCATGATTTTCCGGAAATGCTTCTAACGGAAAAGTTTTCCATTAAAAGCATTTTCGGAAAATTGCATCTAGATTGGCAGGACGCTTTTCTGCAAAAGCACTTTTTGCAGAAAAGCGTCCGTGGCCAATCTATTCGGAAAAGCATCCGTGGCAAATCTAGACGCAGTTTTCCGCAAAAAAGCCCCGATCGCCATTTTCGCGATCGGGGCTTTTTTGCGGAAAACAGTACTGTGCTGTTTACACTGGCCCTCTTGCGCAAATGATTTGCGCAAGAGGGCTTTTGCCCGAATGGGAGCAGCATAGTATTTCCGCAAGAACACTGACGATCTTACATGAGATCGTCAGTGTTCTTGCGGAAATTCAAGCGGCCAGTGTAGACAGCTGGCAAGTTTTTCCGCAAAATCAGATGATTTTGTGGAAAAACTTGCCAGTCTAGACACAGCCCCTATGTATATGAGCCCAAGGCTGATAAAAAAAATCCCAGGTCTTTTACCTCTGGGACTCATTTGTTTTTTCTTTTTAAGCACTTCTGAAACAGCCACAAATTACGATGACTTAACAGCTTGACCAATTATGTCTGTTAGGTATTAAGCATATGTCTAACTTACCATGGCTTGCAGATGCTGCAAGGAAGGCAAAAAAACTCCTTGAGACCTCTGCCAATTGGCCATTGAGAGCAAAAAGTCCTTTCAAGCTGCAAACGGTTGACTAGCTATACCTGCAGCCTCTCTCAGGCTGGGTTCCCATTCCTTGGTCAAGTTGGATAAGGTGGGTTGCTAGAATGGAGCCAAGAGAGGCTTCATGCAGCCTCTGCTCCAGGCTCAATCCTGGGACTGAGGCAATATTGGCCAGTCAGCACCCTAAGCATGGCTGCCCCAAAAAAGCTGCCAGAAACTCCTGGTGGAGTTATCTGGATGTTCCTCAGCCAGTGTCACCTCTTCTGACTGATGGAGGCTGCACCCCTTTCTCCACCAGCCCCATCAAGTCACCACATCCATTGAAACAAGTTGGTGGCATTTCTGATCAGTACAAAAGGTGAATCTCCACCATTTCCCCCAAATGAAATTACTCCCTCCTGCCCAATGGAGTCAGGCCCAGCAAAACTTTCTTTCACATGAGCTGTTGGAGAAGATGTGAGCTTCCTTCTCCCAACCAGTCCTTGCCACTGTTACTCATTCACTTGCCATCAAAAGGGCCAGATTCCCAGTCAGTCCGCTTAACTCTGCCAGAACTACAGTGGTGTCTGCTGGCTGAAAAGCTGGGCCTACCTTGTAATAATCTACTTTTCAAAGGACTGTGCCTTGCGACAGGTTAGAAAGTAAAGCTAGTGCCGAATGCAGCAGGCTGCCTATTAAGTGGCATTTCACACAGGCTTCAGTTTATTGTCTTCATTGTAGTTTCCGGTGGTTTGTCATTAGTGCCTCAGTCTGAGATGAGCAGTCAGGTGTTGTTTTATCCTGGGTATTTAAGGTATGTGATGGGTGACTCCAGCAGCTTTAAAAAACTAAATAAATATCCGTATAAAACAGCACTGTGTGTCAACAGAACAAAAGATAGCTTCCCTGATTTTCACAACAGATGATGAAGCAGGAGAAGAGGGAGACAGCTCTATGGCAGTGGTCCCTAAACTGTGGGATGTACAGGGAGGAACATCTGGGGGTGGTGCACAGTGGGGTTTGGGGTTAGTCCCCTGGGGGGTGGGGAAGGAGTGCCATGCAGCTCCTCTCTGCTCCCAGCCACAGCTTCACTCCACCCCAGCCCACCAGTTCCACTTCTATGCCCAATTCCGCCCCCATCTCGAGTTCTGCCCTCAGCTCCATCTACAGCCCAAGCTGTAATGCAGTAATGAGGGGGGCCTAGGCAAATTCCATTACTGGTAAAGGGTAAACCCAACAGGAAAGGTTTGGCCACTACTGTTCTATGGAAAGGATTTTGGGTGTGTAATTCTACCTTCCTTCCAGCCTAAGACTGTCCAGTGAAGACAGAAGAAACCTGAACTTTACCTTAGCTCTTTTTAATAATCACAACTGACAATTAACTTCAAAGTGCCCTATAGAGTTATTAACTAGGCCTTGCAGAGAGGTTAAATTGCCCAAGGCCACTCAAGGAACCAGTTGTGGAACTGCATTTAGTTTTCACAAGTTCCTGGCTCCCAGACTTGTAGTCCTACCACTAGACTGCATTGTTTGTTCTTGAGTTACCAGCAACACCTTTAGTTTCAGAAGTGTTCATTTGTCCTTGCAGCTCATTCTCCATTCCAAGTCTTGACCTTTGCTGGTGATGTCAGAGGAGAAACTGCCAGGAGGAACAGATGAACTCTTCAGACATGAGTTTGCCATTTCAGTATAATCTTAGTAATAAAAGAACAAGAAAAGGGAAAATGCAGCAACTATGTTATACAGTATCAACAAAACTGTTGCTAAATAGAATATTTTTTATAAGTAATTGGCTGATCCTTAATGCTCGGATCCCAGTATGATGACCATATCGCAAATTACTTTCATAATGGGATAGGATGTAAGTCAATTCTACCAGCTCAAGTGTTTGATTTTTTTTAATGGGGACTATAGTCCAACAGTAATTACAGTCCCTTTTTATGGCTACAACTTCGAACAGGGTGAGGCAGCAAACAGCAGGCCAGCAGCTGGACTAAGAGGCCAGCAGACCTCTTAGTCCCGCAGCTGGGCATTCACTTCAGAGACAGCTGCTCAAGTCCTTTATCATAGAATCATAGAACTGGAAGAGACCTCAGAAGGTCATCAAGTCCAGCCCCCTGCTCTAGGCAGGACCAATTCCAACTAAATCAACCCGGCCAGGGCTTTGTCAAGCCGAGACTTAAACACCTCTAGGGATGGAGACTCCACTACTTCCGTAGGTAACCCATTCCAGTGCTTCACCACCCTAAAGGTAAGTCCTCTTAAACCCTTTGCATTTCTTCTCTGTTTGGAATTCCCATGAGCCTGGTGCACAAGATAAAAGATGTAGCAACTGTTTTGCTAATTCTGTTCTTTTTACTTTTTTAGTCCCTAAAGGGGTCCAAAAGGGGTTTATTTTAGGTTAATTTGGAAAAGCCTTAACTAATCAACAACTGAAATTTTTGATCCTATTCCAACCTCAGTGAATATTGTACCATCTTTATCCCCTCAATCGTAGTTGAGAAACTTCCATTGAACATCAGTCAAGAGTCAGTTTAGTCACTAAGCCTTTGACAAAGCTCCATTTCTTCAGTATAGGAAAAAAAGGCCCAGAGTTTGTGTGTATTTATAAAGATAAACAAAAGCAACTACAGGTTTATTGCCTAAATGTCTTCTGGTTTGTGATTCTAGCCTGTAGAAGATCTAATTACTCTACACCAGAATCTGTTGAGTTACTGTTCCTGACAGGAGAAAGTAAGATCAGGCTATAGTAATTTTTTACCACCATGCTATTTCCCTTTACTTGTTGTTAGAACAGCTTTTCCAGATGAAGGGCCCATGCAGGGTTACCTGCTCTAGTGCCACAGATTGTGCTGTGTTCATGCATCAAGTAGCTAATGTAGTGCACTGAGGAACACCTATCCTTTCAAAATGTTCTGAAGTAATGAGCACATGTAGAGCTTAGGCAAGTTGCATTTTCCCACCTAAGATGAAAGTATTTGGCACCTACTGCACACAGACACTGAAAAACTGGAGACATCACTAGATCTCCTGCAGTACCATTCCTTTAAACCATTCTCTACATTGGAGAGAGGAGAACTGATTTCATTCATTGTATCTGTGCACACATGGTAAAGCTATGTTTCCTGGGGGAAAATAACTGGTTACATTGAAGGGTCCCTGTTTTAGCCAGCTAGTTTTGTCAAAATATTTAGGAAATGTAAAACATCCACCAAAATCTTTTTTCCAGAAAAGGTGATGATCCCACACTCCAGCTGGAGGATGTTCAGTAGATAGTTGGAACATTTACAAGTTCCACACTCAAGTCACACCTTGAAAAACTTTTACATTTTCAGATGTGGAGAGTATAGGCCACTCTCCACTAACACTGTAGTTCAGCTGCAACATCTGGTGTAAATAAAAATATTCCCTGTAGATTCTAAATTCCTGTGCTTATGGAATACTTTGCCAGTTGTCCTAGATTAAGTATTTTTCTCTTGTGCAATTCTAGCTTATAGATGACTGTGGTTAATGAATAGCTGTAATATTTTTTTGTTAAATCTATTCTAATATTTCTGCTCTCTTAAATGACTTTTCTGCATGTGTGCCTAGTTAGTTTGAGGAAGGTTTTGGGGGCATTTTTTTAAAATGGCACATTAAATGGCACATAGGAGTGCCACTCCTATGACTACTTTTTCCATTTTCTTTTTAATGGAATACACTAAGAACTCATACAAACGTATTTAAGCAGCTTAAAAGTTTGGATGGCCAAATCATTTTTTTTTTCAGTAAAACAGACAATGCCAGCACAGTCACCATGGCCTCAGCTACAACGTCTCTTTCAATTGTGTTAGAAAGCAACTTGGCTGCCACCAAGCTTAAAGTGTTCTTAAATGCATTCTTTTCAACGGAGAGTGGAAAAGTAATTGCAGGCAAAATTCTAGTGGGCAGCCACTCCTTATGCTATTGATCCAGAATTTGAATTCAGTTTTGTGCCCCAGGATCTTGTGTCCCTGGCTGGGAGTATCTCAGAGGCTGGATAATGAAAGTGGCTAATTTAAAAAGGGGTACTGACTTGGGAAGGATTCTTGTTACTAGTCTGTCACCGGAAGAATGGTAAACGTGACATGAAGTCTTTAAAGTGGGGAAAATGGTGAGAATAGCTTCACTTGTTGGCCATGCAGTTGCTGACTTGGGAACTTAATGAATAAACATATTCTTTTGTGGGTAATTCCCCCAGCCTCGGGAAAGATGTTACAAACCTGTCCTCCAGCATCCTGCCCCTGGCTTCCTACAGATGCATGGAGCCTTGTGACATAATTCATGCTTGGTGTAGCTTCCATGGCGGTGGGATCAGGGGGAGCATTTTGTGGTAGCACCATTCGTTCCCCACTTCCACACGCCCCAGGTTCTTGTGGCCCTACTGATTTACTGTATTAAAGGGGAGCAGCACCCTGTGAAAAATAAAGGAAACAGATGACTTATTATTTATTATTACAATTCCCAGATTTCCAGGTAGAGTCAATTGGCATAATTCCTCCAAAGTCAATAAAGCTACCCCAGTTAATACTAGGCAAGGATCTCATCCTATGTTTCTCTGAGAGTAAAACAGGAGGGTCGTGATATTTCTGAGGCATAAAAATCAGTAGAAGGAGGAAGTAATCCAATTATGACAATCCAGCTAAATCTTCGAGAAGGCCAAGACAGACATTCTTCATGAAAGGAAGAGCAAAGGAAATAGGTAATGGCATGCTAGCTAATTGGCATTTCTGTAGAGCCGAAAATAGTACTTATAGAAAAATGAGGCTTCCAACTTGGTTTTCATGTAAGAATGCTTGAGGTGTGTCTGCAGAATGCCAGTTTTGTTCTCCACCTCTAATTTAAACATCTTTACCTCAGTAAATATTTGTTGGGCATATTTATAGCTGAACAAGTGACAGGAACAAGTGGATCTTTCAATGTCTTTTATTAGTGTGCTTATTAATGGTTTGAGGCATTCTGGCCAACAGACTATTTGAAATATATACCCCTTTTTCACTCTATAAATGTCTGCCTTGGCACACCTTGCCCCATGCAGTTGGTCAAGTTTCTCTCACACAGAGTTGTGCAAATAGCATTATTTTGGGTAGTGAGGGAAGACCGCCATGTCATGACTGAAGTGTAGCACTGCCTGGTATAACAGAGCTCAGGGAAGCCATTATTCTTTTTACTAGTGCTCATGCTTATCTGAACAGTGACAGAGAGTGTATAATGATCAGTAAGACTCGGGTTGGGAGCTCTGATAGTTATCTCCAATAGAACTTTCTGAATCAGTTTGATGTAAATAATGATCTATGCCTTCTTGCCAGAGATTTGTATTAAACTCAATCACTTTGATTCAGCTCAGGTTATATGTGATGAAAGAGGCACTCTAAGGGTACAAATAACAAATAACAAATTGCACGTCTATGCAGCAAGCCATTATTTCAAAATAATGTTGAGCTGGAGGACTTCTTATGCTGACTCCTGTAGCCCTCATTTTACGAGGAGTACGGGAAGTCGATGGAAGCGTGTTCTTCCTTTGATTTCCTGCTGTGTAGACAGCGCCAAAAGCAGAGTTAAGCTATTTTGACTTCAGCTACGCTATTGACGCAGCTGAAGTTGTGTAGCTTAATTCGACTTTTGCCCTGCTGTGTAGATGTGCCCTAAGTGTTTAAGGCCACACTGTGAATAGCCCTAGCCTGCTCATTCACCCAGGCAAGAGCCAATGACAACTGCCATCTCTCCTAAGGCTTCTGCAGCACTGTGATAATTCAGGGTGCACTCCAGACCTGTGAGGAGGTGTATCACCACTTGCCCTGCAACTAGGAGTGCAGAGCAAGAGGCTAATTGGCTATGGCCCTCTCACTTTTTGCCATGTGCTGGGCCTACTGTCCCTCCTCCTCCCAAGACCGCCCCCCCTCCCCAAGCCAGGTTGGCAGCTGGAGCCTAGCCTGGGTAAGAGTGGCCATGGGAGCTGGACAGCAATGAGAAGCCTAGACCCCTCCAGGTGCCTGATGTGGTGGGGCCCAAGAGCAGCCCCCAGGGGGTGGCCTACCCTTCGAGTGTCTACAGCTCCCCATAGCTGCCTGGTGGCTCTTACTATGTCCCAGCTGTGGCTCTTCGGCCTCCAAGGCCCTGCCTCCAGGCCAGGCCAGAAGCTAGGACCAGGTCAGGGAAAGAACCATACAGGCAGCTGTGGCAAGCCATAGATCTTCCACCTGCCCTGGACAGGGGCTTAGGGGTGAGAGCACAGGTTGGGTGGGGGCTGCTCTTGGCCTCCCCCCATCTTATGTTGGTGGGGGGGCCCAAGCTTCCTGGCCTAGCTCTGGCTTGTGTCTTGGTTGGGGGGTGGAGCCTTGGAGGGGGAAGAGGACAAGCAGAACCAGGAAAGGGGGAGAGCCCATGCCCCCCCATTTTTAGGAAGAATCTGTCACCCCTGCCTGCAACTCCGAGTGTCTCTCAATGCTTTGCTGTTGTAGCTCCCAGCCTGATTTTTTCCCCACCAGACTACAAGCCTGTACGTCACAGTCTAAGTGCACATGTGCTTAGGAAACCTGGCTGCAGTAGCTCTGACCCCAGCATCCTGTCTATAGTCCCACAGCCTCTCTCTGGCTTTTACCAGCCATGGTTACAACCAGAAAGGTGAAACCAGCACACTCCTAGTCCCAAACCCACATACTTTGCAATGTTCAGCTCTCTTCTGGACAGTTCAGAGAAACAATAAGGTTCATTTGTTTGTCTAGCACCCCAAAAGCACATCACAGCATATTAACTTACAACTTTCCATCTGAACACGACCAGGGCTGGATTACCCAATAGGCAGACTAAGTATGTGCTTAGGGCACCAGCAAAGCAGGGGCACCAAAAAAAAATGAGATTTTACAATATAGTATTGTTTTTATTTTGAATTACTTATGGTGGGGGGGGGGCACAATAATCTTTTCAGTGCTTAGAGCCTCTAAAGGTCTTAATCCAGCCCTGAACACGGCACTGAGTTGGTTTATGTATTAACTTGGGCCAGTCCTTTGGAGGACTTTGAGTACCAGGACACAGACCTTGAACTGGGCTCTGTATTCAGTGGGGAGACATTACAAAGAGCAAAGCAAAGCAAATGTGCTCAGAATGAACTCAATTCTTCAACAGACCTCATTCCTGCGGGGCGGGTATTACCCCAGGCTCCTCCTGGGTTGGCTCAGAGTGTAGAGATGTCCTGAGAACAAAAGTTTACCCTGATCAGTCTGTGTAATCCTGCTCCCTTACTCAGCCTTCAAAAATCAAAGTCACCTGGCCAGCCCAGGATCACACCCACAGAAGCAGCACACTTGTGTTTTTTATAAATAAACAGGGTAACCATGCAGGGTCAGTTCAAGAGGCAGGCAAGCAGGGTGGTTGCTCTGGCTATGTTCTTCCATGGAGTGCTGAATCTCTGTGCTCCTGAACTGTTTCTGTGGGAGTTTTTTGGTCAGATTTTTTTGTGTGTTTTTTTGCTGCACATGGCAGCTGGTGCACACTGACATTGTTTCTGTCCTCTCCTGAAAATCAGCTCCTGGAATGATGTGGGCCTGACCATTTTGGTCCTGGATTTTATAAATCCTGGTTGTTGTAAGTTGAGCCACCTGAAGGAGCTCCCTCCCAGACAGCTATGTTGGTGAAATTGGTAGCATGCTGAGCATAGGGACAAACCCTCATAAATAAATAAGTTACTACCCTGTGCTCCATATGAGCAACATCTTAACCCAAGACAGATGCAAGTGGATTCCCCCAGCCAAATTCTCAGTTGGTGTAAATGGTCAAAAATCTGTCCAACCCAGTGGAACGACACTCATTTATGCCAGCAAAAACTTTGGCCCTGACACTCTCTGACAGAGCCAGAATCTTAAATCTTCTGTCTTCAGGGCCTGTCTCTTAACTACAAGTCTCGCCTTCCTTCCCTGTGGCAGTAGCTCACCTTTCACAGATTACTAAGAGAGAGCAGAACTGTTGTGATCATCTTGTGTGACATCCTGTAACACAGGCCAGAGAACTGTCCCAAAAGAATTCCTTTTGAACTTCCCCGCCCAATGGAAAGAACAGGACATTTCTTTTACTAATCTCATCACACTCATCATTTGTGTTCTTGTACAATGTCTGGCAAATAAATGGAAAAGAAAGTCATTTGAAAGTTAATTTATCTAAACTACATCATTCAGATTAAGTATAGGAGTCAATGTGAGCTCCTTGGGGCTTTTAAATGATGTCTCATAGTAATTAATTAAACGATTGTCCTTGATAAATCTAAGTTGTCCTCATTCAATTCTTTATAAATACTATATGGGTAAAAATAGAAAGAAATTAAAAGTGTAACATGGTTGGAGACATTTGCGGTAAAATTAAAGTTACCCCACATAGCAAGGTGACAAGAAGCATATCCAAGAGTAATGATTTGTCCAGCTAAAGCTGAGGCATTATTACACAGCATCTGAAATGAATAATATAGCCCTGAATATTTTGGCATGCACATCTGATGGAATGCATTATATGTTCATATGATAATTTTCCATCTGGCACATTCAAAATCCATGGTCTGCTTTGGGGCCAGATTATTGATTCCTTGACTCAAGCTGAATAACACTTGTCACCATGAGTAGTCCCGAAATCATGGGAGCATCTTTTGGATTAGGACGGGTACTGCCATCTCGTTCTTTATGAGGGAGTGCTAAGTGGAATGGATTTCATTTTATTTATTTTCCTGCACCTAAAAGATGATGACTGTTCATTTTTAATTTGATAATTTAGGTTTTTTTCACGATAGCATCTGAGCATTTTACATACATTAAATAACTTCTAGCTGTGAGGTAGGAAAGTCAGGTGCACATTTTGGAGCAGGGGAATTGAGACACAGAATGGAAAATTGTTGCACCCAAAATTGCGCAAAACCTGTGGCAGAGCTAAAAAGCAAGCTCTGATCTTCTGATTCTCAGCTTTGTTGGGACCACAACCACATGCTCATCTTCTCTCTCTAGTCAGAGAGATGTAAGAGAGATTTAAAACTTGGTGCATATACTGCAAAACTGAACTGCAGCTCTGGAGCGGGACTCAAAGTTTCCAAAATCTGGGGGTATTTGGATTCCATAGGTTGATCCATCATAGAAGGAGGAGTCAATCTGAATCCAACTTCACAGAATTTGGTTTAGAGCCATCTCTAATTATTTACTTTCTGTAATCAGAGTTTCAGTGTGCCACTGCCATTGTAAAACTATGGACAAGGAACAAGAATCATTTCAAGCACAAATAAGTAAACATACACGGATTGTTTTTTATATCCTGCCACAACTCAAACTGAGAATTAATTAGTTTCTTACACTGAGAAGGTTTTGAGCTTCACACCAAAGAAGTGGTGTCCTGAAGGCAGATCAAAGTCAGCTTGTATCCAGAGCCCCCTAATGAAAGGAGGCCCTGCACTGAGGTAAATAATCCCCCCCCCCAATTTTAGATCGTGCAATGTGATTCTGCAAATAGATAAATAAATAGCCCTAGTAGAAAAGGAAAAGCTCACAAAGCTGCCAAAAATGACTTTGTTTTGTCCTGTACATTTGCCCACATCATCTACTAGCGCTATTTTTTACTTTGAAACTGTATGTTAATATACTGCAATCAACAAAAGAAAACTGGTCATATGGATTCAAAATTAGAGCAACAATTTAACTGTGAACAACTTAACTGGCTGGAAGCATTGAAAATAATTGTTGCTAGTGTGAAATTCTTGGCATCAAGACGTTTGGCATTTTGAGGAGATGCTCAGATCATGGGATCACAGCACAATGGAAATTATGTGGGAACTTTGGAGTGAGCACTTCAAGAAATGTGGAAGAGACTGCTTCATGCCGATTTGTGAATATTTTTGAAGAATGTATCATGCAAATGGGAGAGAAAGTTTTGTCAGCAATTATTCTGGACTAAGAAAAGCAAAGTGTTATTAATTCAGCCTGGACTCCTCTTCAGACATGTAGATCAGTTGACTTTGACTATATGATATGTAAAGGCAAGAAATACTATTTATTTCCTACTGTAATACACTTCCACCCCGTCAATTTACACTGTCCTCCAGGCCTCCAAAGTCATGAAGAGCTGAGCCACATTAGCAATGGGTGAGATTGGGATTAACTATTATCTCTGCAGAACTGAGCATTGCTCAGCTAAGAATCTGGTTTCTCGTTGAAACTTTCCATGGTGTACCAATCTGCTTACTTCCAATGCAGTTGCGAAGTAGGAAATCCATAAACCTGCTGCTTTCACATCTTTGTCTTGCTTACAATCCATATGTCTTTGAAACCTGAGAGAGAGAGGCTTTGTATGATACTGTAATGCTGTTCTGAACAACTGTCGAGCTCTTATGCTTTTGAAGACTGGGTTAAAGTGTTCATCAACACATCTTATAACTTATTACCAAAAAGAACACAGGCTCTGAAATACATAACAGATTTATAATGGAAAGAGATTGCTACTAAGATTTCTTTTAAGATCAGAGAGGATCAACTGTAGCTGGTAGACAATTTTATCTTAGAAAAACAGCAGAAAAAGCATTACATTGATGCCAAAAGTAAGGAACAATTTTACAGGATTGGAGTCGGTGAGGGGGAGGGGACATTTTCTTACACCTACACATGATCAAATTAACCACTTGTAAAATTAATCTCAGGATAATGTCCTTAGGAAACATCCTGTTGAACAGTGAACGTTCAGAACAAGAAACAGGAAAAATAATTGGTGAGGATTCAGATTTGAAAGCTTTAGAGACATCTGCCATAGTTAGCCAGTGAAACTCCTGTATTGCTATTATACCGATTAGTTCACTGTGTTTGAGCTTCTTGAATCAACTGTAGGTCAGAGGTTCATGGTGGAAACAAAGCCTTATCATGTTACCTAAAAAATCAGAGGTGCAGGAGAAAATCTCTCTGAAGCTGTAGCTTGTCTGAAAGAGCTGTTTCGTGGTGACCTTCTGTGTGAGTGGCCTCTAGAGATCATTTTGTTTCTGGGACAAGGAACTGTGGATTTATAGAAAGGCTGCTGTGCACTATGCATATGACTAAACTCACCTTGGAAAGAGCTTTGGATACAGCTTTAGTGTTCCAGTTGACAATGGGAAATGGCCTATAGTCAAGTAAATGCTTTTATCAGTTTGGTGTGTGCAGGAAGCAAGGTAGTTCCGAAGTTGAAGGTACAACATGGTTCTCTGTGCTCCTGAAGATGTCAGCATACCTGTTGCTTAGGGACCTTATTAACATTTGTTCATTAAGATGCATAGTACAGGGGCTATGGTGTCATGGCTCCTTCCCCACTCTGGCATGATAAATGCAGAAGTGGGGGCCAGAAAGTGTACCCCAAAGTCTTATCTACCAGTCTTTGGTATAAACTTCCCCCCAAGATCTTAAAAACCTAGATCTTGGGAATAAAACTTCCGCTGCCACCACCCAAATGTTGATAAAGAAATCAGGGGAAAGATCATTTGGGAAATCTTACCCCTAAAATAAAAATCAAGGCACACAATTAACCACTGCCAGGTTAATAAAAAGAAAAGAAAGAACTTTTATTATTACAACAATATTCCTGTTGCAAACATAATGACTAGATAGGGAGGTAACAAAATATACTCATGGAAAAACTCCATGGGCCTAGAACTTAGTTACAAAGAAAAGCCAAAACATCTTTTAAACAGTGCCAGATCTCAGATCCCATACCCAATCCTTAAAACAATAAAACCTAACGAAACTGCCCAAACTTTACCCTACTTACAGAAAATGAAGAATGGTGTCTTGGAGAGAGAGAGACATGCTTGTCCCTCTCTGTAGCTGCAGAGAGTTCACTCCGCGAGACAAAAGGGAGAAAAGAAAAAGGCCCAAATTCCTTTGTCCCAGTTTGAAAAGTCCCATTCTTATTGGTCACTCCACCTGGCTAGGTGTAGTTAATCCCTTAATCCCCAGGCTGCTGGCTAACCCTCATAATCATGACATATGGTAAGAAGATCTCAGGAAGAAATCCTAGTTCCACAGAGGTCAATTGCAAAACATCCACTGGCTTCAAGTAGTCTAGGCCTGCTGCTTAACACAGGAGCACAGAAGAAGTTGCTAATGCAGACAGGTTTGAATCAGCAGATGGGTTATTTGATTTTGCCAGGACCCATCTCAGAATATGTGCCTCCCCACGGCACATGAGTTATCCTATTTCTGAGAACA